TAATCGCATCAACAATAGTAGACTGTGGTTTGTCATTTTTCGATTCACATAACGTGAGTTTTGATTAATTCCTAACACGATTTTCATTTCGCGATCCATTTTTCATTTTCCCGCTGCACGGTTTTAAATTCGTGGTGAAATATGAATACGACGCGTTATAAAAAAAAAAAAAAAATACTGACATAGCTACGACTCTACAGTGTGGCAGAATATAACTCAGATAACACCAGAGAGGAAAGAAGGGAGGGAGGAGAAAGAGTTTATATGATGATGTGAAATCTTTCGGAAACCATATTTCCGGTGCTATACGATAAACTTTACGAGACGCGATCGTAATACTTATTGAACGGAAATCTTGAATTTTCAGTCACATTTTGCTGTAATATTTCTCAGGATATTACATAAGAATTTTTTTCTTTCGTACGCGAGATGCAAGAATCTCCTCCTCTTAATTCCGGACTACATTCGAGACCTTCTTGCCCGCAATATTTCATTCGTCACTTCGACAAGTCGGTTCACTCGCAAGGGACAATTTAGGAGGACGAAAGGGTCTTTATTCGGTCGAAATTTTTACGAGATGTAGCAACAAGTTGGTAGTAAATTTTAGACAAATCCCAATTTGTCGTCACTCTTCGAATTTGTTGCGAAATTGTTGCTTAACTTATTTAGAATCCTCTCTTCACTTCTTCTTCTCTCACTCAAAATTGATCGCTGAACTTTGTAAATGATTTTCTAATCACGAATCTCTCTGGTCAAAAAATTTACATCCTGTTACATTATTAATAAATTCCGTTTATAAAATAATAATTAAATTAAAATAAAAAATATCACTCTAATAATTCAATATAAAATTATACACGATTAAAAAAAGATCACAATTTATAATGAAGAAACTTACAAAGAAAAAGCTAAAAAAATTTATCTGAAAAAATGATGCGTGACGCTAAAGCATGGAATTGATTTGCAAATAGAATTCGATCCCGGAGATTACACTCGGCGACTGCATATAATTCCACGTGACGAAAGAACTCAGGAGTCCCGGTACATCGAAAAGGGTTAATGGAGGGCAGTGTACCTCGGAGTGTTGAAGGCGGGAATAATGCGATGGAAACGAGCCCGATAGCGAACGCGACCGCAACACGTGAAAATGGCGTTGCTCGACCTTATCAGGCGGCCCATGATTTATAGGTCTGCTCCGAAAGAGAGTTAATGGAGGCAAAATAGCGCGCACCATGAATCCTTCCGTATCGCGCTGTCGATGCTTCGACGGTCGGTTCTCTCTCTCCCTCTTTTTCTCTTTCTCTCTCTCTCTCTATCGGATACCCGGATCTCCCCCTAGTTCCGAAATGTTCCCATGGGAATGGCTGGACCGTTTCCAGCCGCGAGCGCACATTCGCTATATCTATCTACCTATCTACCTGTGCCAATTAACACGCCGATGGTCCCTCTAATCATTGCGGATCTATTAGCTATAAAGCGATTGCTGGTTATATTGCAAGATTAGCTTTTCTTTTTGAATGTACAGTCTACAAGCATGCTCGGATTATTAGATTCGAATACGTTTGGTATATAGTATATTTCATATTATATTTTTTGTATCTTCCTTAAAAATTAATTTTTAATAAAATTTATTAAATTATTATTTATAAATTTTTATATATTTAAATAAAATAATGGAATTTTATATTATACAACAGGATTTTATAAAACTAGAAAAATACTCATAATTAAATGATGTAATTTGGTGAAATTGGAATATGAAATCATTTATTATGCTTCCTTGCTTTTGGGTTAATAAGATAAATATTGTTTTAGAAACAGAAAACGAAAACGATAAATCAATAAACGTCGAAATTATTCCGGAAAGCATTAATATTACAATTACCGGCATCATCAGATTATTAAACTTAACCGCAAGTTTACATTATTTTTTTAGTTATGCTTTTATATTCTATATTACATCAATTTATATTATCACTGATATTAATTTTATATAGTATTATTGTTTCACAAACCTGAATAATTGTGTATAATTTTGAGATTTGTGGAAGAAAAGTGATTTGCTTATTAAATATTAAAATATAAATTTTGAATATTCGGTGTATGCTTTATATTTAATTACTTGCTCAAATAAATTAAGGAAGTAATACAAAACAAATGATTGAAACGGTAAATAAATTTGTGAATCTAATAATCTGAAATAATCCACGTCTATAATAATGGATGCAAATTTTTCGAAGTAAATAGAAACATCAGACCACACATTTATTATTAAATAAAAACTTGATTCTTATAATTGCAGATGATAACGTACCTATGAATATGACCAAGTAGAATCATTGAGAAAAAACCATAAGACTACTTTTATATATTTTTTTTTCTCCGAAACTCACGGACAAATAATTCTATTGATAATGAATACCCTAATTTGAAAGACGCGTCTTCGGAATCGCGATTCATCTCACGATCATGAAGTTTGATCATTAAACTTCTAAGCGTGTTTTACGTCGTCGCTAGTGAATTCGCACGTGCGTGTTATGTTAGCTGCACTGCTTGCTGTTTAACTTCGGACGCACGTTTATTGCTTTTAGCCGTTTATTGCTTTTATTACTATGATTATTATTAGTGCGCGAGGAAGGAAAGTTATAAAAGACGTGAGATACGCTCGGATTAAATGACTTTCGAAGAGTCAAGCCACCTCGCGAAGTACACAGGTACGAAGTTTGTGGACTCGATATCTAATGGAACAGTAAAATCGATAAAAGTTCGCACTTGATATTTACTAGACTTTTAGCTTACGCTTTGTAATTGGATTTGAATTCATCGGTTTCACCTCAATAAAAGCGCGGAAATTATACAAATTGTATATCACCCTACTTAGAAATTAGTTTTTAGAATTTAGATAACAGGTATTTTTACATAAGAAATATCAAATTAAGATATTTTTGTTATATATTTATTCGTGTATGAATTGTGTCATGATATCCTAAAAATAATCGAGTTTAGAGAATTCGAGAATAATTGATTTTATATTATATAGAAGAAATCAAAGCAACATGTTATATTTATTTCATAATGAGATATTTATTATTACAAATATTGTATATATTATATATTTATAGTGTATATTTATTATTCATGCATTAATTTTATAATATCGTAATAAATCGAGCTTAAAAAATTCTAAAAAAATTCATTTTACATTGTATAAAATTTTCAACTAAAAAAAATATAAATATTTTTAGAATTTTTATTTTTATACGTACCCACGCACACAAAGTATGTTAATTATTAAAAATCTAAGGATAGAATAAATTAAAGATAAGATAAATTTCCGTTGTTTTTTTTTTTTTATTTATTTTTATAGATCAGTGCAGTTGCTCTTTGTTAGCAGGGTGTCAGTTTCATCTCTTTAGTCATCTAATAAAGCTTTGTCGCAAATTAACCGTTCCAGCGTACAATACACACAAGCTTGCTTATTGCTTTCACCTATACATATATACATACGTATACTAATTTCACGCGTGCGAAAAGCTTGTGGGACGTATATGTCCGCTATTTTTATCCAGTGCTGACTTTATTATATTTTTGCGTTCTATCTGTGCCACATGAATGACGCAAGAACGGGAGCGAGAGAGGTTTTTATAGGTAGTAACACACACGGTAGTCGGAAACTGTCGGGGATAACCCACGGCAAAATGCGGTAACGAAATAGAAATCCGTGCACGAGGGGTCACGTTACCGTATTTTACGTTACCCCTCGGTATCCTCAGGTCACGCTCAGATGGTTTGCACGAAAGCAGTTCTTTCTAACGCCACAGGTTCCAAAAGCAGAAATTTCCATCACACTTGAATGCCACCGTTTTCGTAGCGTTCGATTGATTTTTTTTATACCGTTGGAAGTTTATCAGAAATAGGAACGATATATTTAATTCGACCTAAACTAGCCGAGAAAATTTTTATTTTATTTCCACGTTGATTATTAATCGTGACAACAGTGTCAACTAACTGCGCTTTTATGCAAGGAATTTTTCACTTGAAAAGGACCAAAAACAGATGGTCGAAACGTTGTGGAAATAAAATAAAAATTTTCTTGGCTAGTTTGGGTCGAATAAAATATATCGTTCCTATTTCAAATACCACTAGCGACGTTTTAAGTATTCAATTTGATTTATCAGAAATATAAGTAATGGATTTTCTTCCAACATCGATCGCATGGTAATTTGAAAAAATAATATTCGAGATTCCTCTATAAGTCCTTTATAAAAGACATTACGACGTTTTTCGGAAATGTATTATAAAATGATAGTTTTTCGAGAATAAGCTGAAAGAAAGGAAAGTATAAAATAGTAGAATTAATTTACCTCGAGAAGTAGTTGACGATATTTCATGTGATATGGATTGATTCGATCTAAAAAAATCTGTGAAAATTATACAAAATTTCAAACATATATCACGTTACTCAAAGTCAACAAATTTGAGTATTTATTTAATATAGATATTTAAACATTTATTAAAAGAATTACAATTTAAATATTAGATATTAATTATCATTATTATATTTTACATAAATTATACAAATCATATAATTTCAAACATATATGACGTTACTCAAAGTCAATAAATTTTAGCATTTATTTAATATAGATATTTAAACATTTATATTAAAAGAGAATTACAATTTAAATATTAGATATTAATTATCATTATTATATATATTATTATATCTTACATATTTACAAATTACTCAATCATGTATTAATTTTGTCATAAGATATCCCAATAAAATCGAGTTTAAAGAATTCCAGAATAATTCATTTCCTTTATATTACATAAAACTTTTTATATTCGAAAAATAAGAGATAACTTTGCATGTCCATTCTCTAAATATTTTATACTTCCTGATTTTTCTTTCGGCATCACCCATATATAATTATTCGATCGCACTAATTCCGACAAACATTACTAATGTATCTCTCTCTCTCTCTCTTCTGTTTCAGCTGTACCGTCATACATACCTGGCCCATTACAGGATTGTGAATCTGGAGACACTGTAAGTAAACGAGCCGTGTCTCGGCGGGCGCGTTTCCCGACAATCATATCTCAAATTTATTCCGTGATCAAGTTCGGATTTGCATTTTAATCTCGACCCCCGTCGTAAGCCGGGGGTGGAATGGGGTAGGAAAAAGGGGGAAGTTGGGAAAGCTGGGGGCGTAGCAGAGCGCCGCGCGTGCAAATTACAAACTGTGCACGAATTTAATCCCGGCTCGTCTTACCGTCACCGCGCTTTACCTTACCTTATACCTCTGCCCGTTTCGCAGTCTGAGAACTTTCTCCTTCGCAGATTTGATCATTAACTCAGCATTTAGGAGCGGTTATATCACGATTACCGCCAACCCCGAACGCGCCGCAATCTCTCGCTTTCGTCCTCCGATCTTCTCCGTTTGGTGAAAAAAAATTGGTTCAAACTATAGCTTATAAGGCCTAAACTTTATTCGCGCGATTGCGTTTCTCACGGCGGTTCTGCGACATTCGCTTGCAACGCGAATTTTTCCTTTTCTTTACGAGGTCTGCGCACTCTTTTCCTTAATTTTGCGAACTCCTTTTTTATATGAAAATATATATATATATATTCTTCCACTTGCTAAATTCTAGGGTTTAATAAACTCCCGGTTAGTTTCGATGAATTGTCAATATTATTAATTCATGTGCTTGCTTTTGTCAAATTTATTTGTATATATATTTTATCCATTTACACATTTGTTTGCCCATTAGTATCATTATTATGCGACGTCATTATATACGCATACTAAATATTATTATTTCCCATTGCCATATTTATTTATAGAAAATTACAGATTTATAGGGCTTTTCTATAGAAAATAAAATTCTATATTTATGAGAGAATAAATTCATAAAATATTTATATATCTTTTTTTACAAAATAAAATCTGTAATTGTTATCGAAATTTAAATTAATCGCAATAATGGAAGATTATATATTTCTTTTCGGTAAAAAAAAAATAATATACTTTCACAGGAGACAATCTCTCTCTCTCTCTCTCTCTCCATATATTAGTCGAACTCCCTGCGGAATTTAAATCATCCCCGGAACTAGGTCACCTATGAAACTCGCAAAATTTCGAAGATCAATTTCTCACGATTCTCGCGCGGAACCGCGAGTACTTTCTCGAGATTCACTGGAATAGCGTCGTTCGCACTTCTTCGAGAAGAGAAAGAGAAAGAGAGAGAAACCCGAAGGATCCTGAAATTCATTCACGCGAAACCACGACACGCTCAGACATCCCTCGGTTCTATATACCGAAGCCGAGGGTGCGCGAAATCCGAGACGCCCGCGGTTTTTCAGGGTGAGGGTGAATCATTTTCCTCTCGGGGATGATGATTTACCCTCGCGCTTGAGATCATCGCTCTCAAATAGTCTGTCAGATCAAATCACTCACCGTTTTCGAGGCATGTCTCGCAAAGAGAGATGTGCAAAGGGCGCTCTCGTCATCTTTGTACAGCCGGGTCGTTTCAAGGTTTAACTCTGCGTGATGACTGTAACAAACACACATATATACATAAGTCGCTGTCGAGTTTGAGTTACGTCGTTGATTTTCGGAGAGAACCAAATTTTGAGATAAAGAGCGCAAACGAAGTAGAAGTCTCGAGTTGCGTAGAAGTGGTAAAGCATTTTGGAGAACGTAAAATTGCAGCTTTGAGATGACTTTAGGGGCAAGAGAGTCTGTATAGGGATTCACCGAGTTTCCGGGTGATTAAGAATCTTAGAGAAGACGCGAAGCCCATTATAAATAAAATATGTAGGGCAAAATTCTATATGGTATTTAATATAATTTATAGTAATATTTAGTAGTATTATTTTTTTATTTTTTTGGAAATAAAAAGCTCTGGATAATTAAATAAATATTACAAGTTAATGTAAGAGGATTCATTAAGAGCCTAATACAGTAAGCAGTGCGCACATTTATTCCTTTTTGATTGAATATTGTTTATTTAGTACATTTTGGTTCTAAATTTCGAACCATCTTCAAAAACTGTCAAATATATAAAAAAAATAAATTGTATAAAATGGATATTAAAAAGAAAAAACATAAAATCGATTTTAGAGAAGATTATGATATATTTGTGTATATAAAATTTACAATTTAAAAATAAAAATAAAATATTTAGATATTTTTTACACTAAATTATTCAAGTTTTTTCGAATAAAATGTTTGGTTCCAATTTCATATTCTATCTTTAAATATGTATAAAAAAAGAATAAATTTTAGATTATAAATTTAATAAATCTTTTAAAAATATATTTATATATACGAAGAGAAAAGAAACGTTTCAAACAAATAAAATGACAAGATAAAGAAATGACAAAAAAATCGCGCGTTGTGTGACAAATTTGAGAGATAAACGTAATCTATTGTACGACCACTGCATTGCGACGACTCGTCCATTTTCGAGTTTTGTCCATTTCAGTTTCGCCCGAGAATGAAAAGACAAACGTTGTATTATTTCTTCGGAAGACGAGAAATATGCTCGCTTCTCTGATACACGGTATATGCATACATACATATGTATGTATCGTATATCGCGATAGTCGTAATCTTATATCCGTTGTTTCGTATATATACATATATTATGTTTCGCGTTTTGACGCGAGAATGCGATTTTCTTCGCGGTACAAAAATGCCACCCACAAATGAAAGACATTTTTCGGAATATATACTATAACGCGCGACACATAAATCCTAAAACGTGCATGAAATTTATGCTCATTTACATATATTCGCCTCGTGCATATCCGCGTTCGTTCGACACGAGAAAATGAACTCGTGCCAAAAACATTATTTTGTACTTAGATAAAACGCTTCCCGCTATTATAATATTGCATTTACGTCGCGTCGTGTCGTTGTACATGTACTTTGAATCCCGTAGTTTCATCGAATGAAGGACGATTAAAATTTACATATAAAACGGTTATTTTCATCGCTCGACGATGACAGTTAAAGATATACAATATTGATATAAAAGATATATACGCAAAAGATGCGTGTTACTATCTAGAGATTTTCTTATATTGTATTATTTCTATTTATTTTTAATATAATATACAGCTTAAATTATGAAAATAAAGAAAATATATAAATATTTAATATTCTCTTTAATTTTTTGATTATAAATTTTATATAAACAATGACATTGTTGTAATTGTCTCTAAAATAATCGATTCTTCAGTTTATGAAAATAATTTGATTATTCTGTTTTAATTATATTCTCTTTCCTTCTAATGGCTGCTTTACAACATTAATTTTTTATATGCATTTGACAGTTGCTGAAAATAGTTCGAAATTAGAATCAAAACATACTAAATAAACATATTTTATCAAGAAGTACAATTTGCGCATTGCTTATTAGAGTCTTCATTAACCCGCTAATATACATTTTGCAATATTTAATATTCAGAGCCTTCTATTTCAATATAAATAAATGAATAATAAATAATACTACACTAATTATTATTTTAAATTATTTATGCGTCGTTCTATACATATATATAAGTATCGTATATTTTTGTCCTACATTATTTATAATTGCTTCGGACGTTAATATATTCCTTTAGATGATGAAAGCTTGTCCGAAATTATTTTGCACAGCACAGTGCAATATTACGGGGAGTGCAGTAGAACGTTATCAAAAATATATAAAGTCTCTCATTTCGAGTTATTGCCAAAATCAAAAACAGGGACCAACTGTTTCCTTATAAATTTTGCCCACGATGACAATTAAAAATATATTGATACAAAAGATATATTGCATACATACAAAAAATGCCTATTTTCATTATTTATATCTTTTGGTATAATAGTTTGAATTTAAAAAAAAAATATATATATATATATACGGACGTTTAATATTATATATTTTTTTCATTTTTGAACTGTTTTATATAGACAATGTAAAATTTATTTAATGAAAATATTTTATATAAAATGTTTGTATAAATCAAATTATGTATAAACAATCACACATACAATCTTTTTTAAAACCAGTTAATTTTCCACTTACGAAAATAATTCGATTATATTTAATTACATATATAATTATATTCTCTCTTTATTCTTTTTCAATGTCCGTAGACGTTAATATATTCCTTTGGACGAAAGCTTCTCCGAAATTATTTTGCACAGCACAGTGCAATATTACGGGGACTGCAGTAGAACCTTATCAAAAGTATATAAAGTCTTTCATTTCGAGTTATTGCCAAAATCAAAAACAGGGACCAACTGTTTCCTTATAAATTTTGCCCACGATGACAATTAAAAATATATTGATACAAAAGATATATTGCATACATACAAAAAATGCCTATTTTCATTATTTATATCTTTTGGTATAATAGTTTGAATTTAAAAAAAAAAATATATATATATATATATATATATATATATATATACGGACGTTTAATATTATATATTTTTTTCATTTTTGAACTGTTTTATATAGACAATGTAAAATTTATTTAATGAAAATATTTTATATAAAATGTTTGTATAAATCAAATTATGTATAAACAATCACACATACAATTTTTTTTAAAACCAGTTAATTCTTCACTTACGAAAATAATTCGATTATATTTAATTACATATATAATTATATTCTCTCTTTATTCTTTTTCAATGTCCGTAGACGTTAATATATTCCTTTGGACGAAAGCTTCTCCGAAATTATTTTGCACAGCACAGTGCAATATTACGGGGACTGCAGTAGAACCTTATCAAAAGTATATAAAGTCTCTCATTTCGAGTTATATCCTCCCCCGAATCAAAAGCACGGTGGACCAACTGTTTTCTTGTAAATTTCACCATTGGCCGCAATATAGTTTGTTCACGCGTGGCGGCAATCACGGTACGGGAAAACAGTCGAGGGACCAGTAAATCCGCCGTCGTTTTTGGCTTTCGGTGTCGCGATAAAAGCCAGGACGACGATATACGGAAAGCGCGCGCGTGTGTGTATATATATGTGTATGTATTTTGGGGTGGAAATGGGAGCGAGATGGAGAGAGAGAGAGAGGGTAAATAAGCCGTGAGTTTCCTCGCTCTACATTCCGCTGTATATTCCTAAGCAAGGCCAGGCGAACTCTGTCCCTATAAACCGGGTTTGTACGCCGCATGAATACCGGTGTCTTTATTTATGGCTTTTCGGGAAGAAGTTCGTGGGACGACGGGAAACTGTTATCCAGACGCGACAGTCAACGACGCGCGATACGCTTTTCATCGATTTTCCGCGGCCGGCTGGTTACGGATGAAACGCCAGTGGATAAAAAGAGAGGGATCATTGCGCGAATCCAGCCGGAAAAAGTCCGTTTTTCTATCCGGCGGCAAGGTTGGAGCAATTGAACGGATCGGTGCAACAGTGGGATTCTGATTTTTTGCTTTCTTTTTTTTTTTATTTTAAGAAATCGGAAGTATTTATCTCTTGAATCTCTCCTGCAATCCTCTAAATTTCATACGCGAATTAAAATATCAAGGCCTGGTATTTAGCGAGAAAAGTTAATTTGCATTAATTTTTTTCAAGCTTTTTTTTCTTAAAAAAGAGTTGAACTGAATATTATGTGTGTTAAAATTCAGGAATATTTTTTAAAAATGTGGAATGCTTTTTACTCTTCTCACACATCTCTGTAAGATTTTTTACATTCATTTAAAATTGAAGCTTGAAATTATTTTTTTCGACAAAAACATTGAAAGGTCCGTAGTTTTTTAAAATCATATTTTAGAATTAAAATAAAAATAAATAAATTATATAATAACGAATTGAACGTGTTTGTTTATTCTGGAATCAATTTCAGAATTTGTAGCTCTTTTAGTTTATATTTGCAAATTGTTTTCGAATTTATTGTCTATAGAAAAAAGTTTCTCTCTCTCATCTTTCTTTTCTTTCGAATACATATAAACGCATATATATGCATATTCATTTAAAAAAAACATATGAAAACATGTACATTTGCGGGACATAAAATAAATATTACGCGACATAAAATGAAATGATTGCATTTTTACAATGTTCGAAGCTCTTTTATAGATGTTGATTGGAGTTTCCATCAAAACAAGTTGTCATAAAATGTATGAAACATAATGAAAAAATATAAACTGTTGTTTTATGCGAAATAAATTTTTATTTAAACTTTATTTGTGTCGTAGAGATTTATAAAGAATTTAAATAGAAAGAGAACGTTCGAAAAAATCTATAAAGAATTTCCTCTTTGCAACAATCGATGAATTGAAAAATTACAATATAATTACAAGAACACACATTTGTTATTTTATTGAGAGAGAAAGAGGGAGAAGGAGAGAAAGAGAGATTGTTTCCGCACAATTATTTCATTGATCTATCAGTGTCACGAGGTTCAGTGCTTTCGATAGTTGAGCATCGATTTATTTTCGTTCCTCTTTCTCGATAACGTATTTGCCAACAGTTCTTACGCGAAAATGGACCCCGATAGTTTTCCGTATACGAAAGTGGATGCTGCGATAGTTGGCAATTTGCCATCGAGAGAAGGGGACCGAATCTGATCGAGACTTTAAAACTTTCATTCCGAATGAATAAAACTTTTACTTCGTAAATGATAGTAAAAGAAAATAGCGCTCGCAAAAGCGTGTTAAGACGATGCAATGCATCGATGCACTTTTTGCAGAAAGGTCTTAGATAAACCATCGTAATTGTGCCAGGATATAGTGTCTTATGTAAAAAAATTTCAAAGAGTTGCATCTGGGATGTAAAAGAAATTCTTGCGATTTCAGAAAATTAATTTGACAACATTTTTTGTCTGTAATAATGTGAATGTTATTTTGTATATTTTAATTTGAAGTTGGAGAAAAGTAAAAAAAAAACGAAAGAGAAAATTATGACATGTACATAAACTACAAAGAGCGATCCAAACTGTATAATCATGGAATCCTTCCTTAGACACTTGAGCAAACGGGTTCAATGTTTTTCGTCGATTGTCAGTATCTACGATAATATTTTTATCAGGTACGAAGGCAAAAATCAACTTCTCTTAATCGGCTTTTCTCAAGCTCTTTGTACACAGCTTCTATCTAATCGGGAACGAACGTCAGAGGTCTTCAGTCTTGATAGAAATTGCCCGATTAAGGTTAGTCAGTCGATTTATCGGAGGAAATTAAAAAAATATAAAAAAAATGAGAACGTCTATACTCGATTTTATATCTTTTAAATATATTTGCATTTATTTCGAACGTATAAAAATTAAAAAAAAATCGTCAATATTTCCTGTTAATACAATTTATATCACATGAATAATTAACACACGTATGAACGTAAGAAATAATATTAAATAAGAATAATTTAAATAATAATTTGTATTTAAAAATAAAAATTTATATAACTCCACAATAAGTTTTTCGCATCAATAACACACATGGTTGTCTAAACTGTACTTGTTAACCGGAACCAGAAATTGTCTGCCGCACATACAAATACATATACATACATATATATCTTTTCCGAGATTAATTGGATTTCTGATTCACACTGATAATTATTCCCGGAATAATGACTTATTCGCCGTTTTATTCGATCATTCGTTGATTCCGGCAATAATCCCCGTCATTGTTTAAGTTTCGAACCTTTGATGAAGAATTTGCAGCCTGTATATTACGTTCCCCGTTGGTCGAAACCGACAGGAACAATACAGGAGCCGCGTAGTTATGCGAGACTACATCTCTCCTCTTGGTTGTCCGGTAGTTTCAAACTAGGACCGTGCCTAAAATCATACCGAGAGTTACGGCATTGTTCAACCGGGACACAGTGACGTCATTGTCGGTTTGCGGCGATCGGTCACGAACGCTAAACAATAACAAGGTGGACGTGTTCCGACACGTTGATATCTTCCATTCCGCTTCCTCCTCCGCCTCCTCTTTGTCTGTTTTGATTTCATAAACCCAAATTTCAATGGTTCCGTTTGTAATGGCGGATTTGGCCAATCGAAATTGCGATAGATCGTGCGAGATGAGCTCGAAACGAGATGCAATCGGATAATTCGATAGTTACGGAGGCTTCCTACATTTTGGAGTTTCCTCTTGTATTTCGCAACGTGCATCGCTTCTCCGGGAAGAAAGTTTTTTCGTGTAAAAAGTGTCTCACAGCGGTGTACATTAGCGAAATCGAGAGATACAAAATAAATGAGAAGTTTATTTCGTGTTCTACTTGGGCTCCCATTTTATACAATTTTCCTTCTTCTTGAATTAAAAGTAGCAAAATGTACTTTCTTTCTTTCGTTTTTTTTTTATACTTTTGCCGCTTTACAGACATATTTATGCCAAGTCGTAATGTTTTCCCTATAATCATCCATCTTTAAGAGCACAATCTTTCGGGACAGAAAGAAAGATAGATGCTAATTGCCTTTTTTCAGTAAAAAAAACACGAGTAATCGAGGCCGCCTTGAAAAACGCAAACGCGAAGAGTTTTTTTACCTCCGCTGTGTTAATCGAAACACGTTATAAATTATATGTTTGCAGGACCGAGACGATTCTGGCGGTGAACGAATCTACACCTTTGCAACTCGCTACCTGGGCGCCACGAAACAACGCCCTGATCTACGTCTATCAAAATAATATCTACTATCGACCGGAAGCAGAAGTGCCCAATGATTATCAGATCACTCACACCGGAGTGTTCGGCACCATCTACAACGGAGTACCGGACTGGGTGTACGAGGGTGAGTAGATGCTACAAGTATTATTCTATTTTTTTTATTGTGAAATTTTTTAAAAATTCTTTCGTATTTTTAAAAAAACACTAGCGTTTTTTTAAAAATATTTTAACATTAAAAAAAAACTTTAGCATTTTTTTTAAATACTTTAGTATTTAGCATTTAAAAAAAATACTAAAGTATTTGTAAAAAAATGCTAAAGTATTTGTGAAAAAATACTTGACATTTAAACATTTTTGCGCCAAGTGTTTCTTATATAGCTTGAAGCTATCTCGTAATTTTGTTATCAAAAGCTTTGATATTTTTTTTAATTTCGAAAATAAAACGCACTAATAATATAATTGAAGTAAAAAAACGACGAGATTAAACTGTATTAAGCCCTTTACCTATCTAATCGCTTTACCTTTCGTGAAAATTTCACGAAAAGTCGATATCCACTATTTGTACGGCTGAAACTGGGATCTATCTCGATTTATCGTGCTCGTCCCTACCGATGATTCGGCAAATCACATAATATTCGTTATATTTATTTGTCCCTTTGAGGGATCTATTTTTACGAAATGTAACATTCCCCTCCTTCTTTTTTCTCTATTCAACTGTAAAAATATTTTATTTATTTTCTATGAAAGCATTCGATTAAAAAGCTTAAAGTGAGGCTGTGATATGCGAAAAAATATTGGAATATGATATACACACATAAATTGGGGTCAAATAATTCGACGGATTGTCCTTTTTATAACTTCGTTTATTTCAAATCTGCGTGAAATTAGCGCGAAACGTTTCGTTGCTGATTATTCTATTCTTTTCTCGTACTGAAATAAGAAATTAACTCTACGGTAATGACTCATTAGAAATGTAAATTAATTCGACCAAGTTTCTCCGAAGAGAGAAAAACTATCGCAGTTGATCTCTCGACATACGCTTTGTATCTTTTGTCGATTCTTTTAAATTCAATTCCTTCAATTGAATTGGAAACTAAATCAGCCAAAGAATTTTCTACGGAATTGCACATGTATCCCAACAAACGATTAAATATACTTTTCATTTAAAAAATATTTTTATAAAATCATTCAAGTTTTATTTTTCGTAATTTGTTCATTAAAATTCTATTCAGCATCGGATTTTAAAAATATTAAAATAATTAAGAAATTAAATATAAAATGATTAAGAAATTTAAGAATATATTCGTCAATCGTGAATTTCTTCTTTGTGCGAGATGACGGTAATGCATCGCGAAAGGGATGACGTGCAATAATTCGCGTAATCGATGCTCCAGAAGGCTTATCCACGTTTGCATCCCCGAGCCTTCATCAGCCATGCTCTTTTTACACCCTTAGCTTGTCCCTTTGGATGTCACGTCTCGTTTTTTTTTCGCCGCGCGCGACGATATCGGCGAAAATCAACGGATGAGGCGCATAAAAATTCATCAATCAAGAAGGCAAGCCCGCGAACAATGTGAGGGGGAGCACTCTGACGGGTTACGGTCACTTCCAGTAGATTTAGTTCCTATATCCTGAGTGACGTTTATCATGATGAACATCGTATGTCGCGGCGAGAGTAAAGTCGCGCATCGATTTCACGGATAAAAGCGGAGGAAGACGTGAAGGATTTTCCATTTCGATCATATCGCGTAATCATTTATTTTTAATTCAATCGACATTTTTCAAACCGTATATTTCTATTTCTTCATCTGACTTACTGATATTTGCAGCATCCACAAATCATAAAATTTATGTATAAATACTAGAAGACCTTGGAACATTAAAAGTAATTGTTTTATTATTTGAAGAATTAATTAAATAATAATCTCTCTTATTAATTACCTAATATAGTAAATTATAATACAATTATTATTATCATAGATGTTATAGTTATATTATAATTTATATTTATTATTAATGAGATTATAACATAGTGTTAATGAGATTCTCCTTCTAATAAAACAATTTTTTTAAACTTTAATAAAACAATTACTGTGAATAAATTACATAATAATTTACGAAAATCTGAAATTGCAACAGAAGAAAAAAATGCTTTTTATATCGAATGCCGACAACAAACAGCGTCGTTAATCGGAGATTACATGCTCGCGCGAATATTGCATATTGATGTTTTCCTTTCTCGACAAATCCGCATAATAAAAATATTCGCGGTTATAAAAGAAAAATAAAAAAAGTGCATCAACGAACGGTCCATATTTAAAGGAATATATAAACGCGGCAAATTGTCCGGATTCATAATGTTCCGTGCTATTGGCAGCTTCGAATCGAAGCAGTTGCGCTGTTGAAAGGCAACGGAAAAAGTCGGGGCATAATTTAAAAGGCAGAATTCACAGCTTTCGCATGTAATATATCCCCGAACGAATGCCTCGCAAGGTCAACCATTTTTGCCCGATCTGCATCTCATCATGTATTTATTTCCGCGCATTTTCGCGAATTCGTTGCGTTGAGTTTTGTCAATTGAGAATTGTTCCATCGTGTATCTGAATTTTTTACGCATCCATTGGGAACATAGAAAATTATTGAATTCCAGTTTACTCTCCGAGATGTAAAAAAAAAACTTTTATGTTTCACGATTCTTTTGTATTTTTAATGGTGTGGTTTGAGAAGAAAAATATGCAATATATGTAATAATATATATACAAAAATATTCAAATATATGAAATATATATAAAATATAATAAATAATAAAAGTATAATAAATATATAAAATTATTCAAATTGTGCATAAAAGTCACGATTACATAAAACAACGAAAAAGTGTTGAGATACATACATAAATATAAAATCAGGTAAAGAAAAGGGTTAATGAGAACCTAGTGAAAATATTAGGCGCAATAAAATGGTTGTTAAATTCTTCTTGAATTGATGAAATACATATTTTGACAAATATTTTAATATAAAATAATTCAAGAGGAATTTAAAAATAATGTTATTGCGTCCGATATTTGTACCTGACATTTATTAGCCTTTTTCATGATTTTATATATGTATATAAGAATAATTAAAAAAAACTTCTAATTGAACACAATTATCACATTCTCTAGAGATCTACGGATTGAAATTTTTCGCGAGACTATAATTACGCAGTATCATAATAATTATTATGCGAAACATTAATGTTTCGTGCTAGACTAAAGTTACCGCATTCGCGGTCCTATCGCTCTTTTGCAATCTTTCGTGCAATCGGTTCACACGCCTATAATAATTAAATCGTGTCGCTCTATGATCGATCTCCCTTTACACTGGGAGGGGTAAATGATAGAAATTGTTTACGCATCTCTGTGCCGTTGATTTATCGCGAAAGTTACGAGTGAATCGCGTCGTTTTGGTCGGGCGCGATGCCGATGCATGCGTTTTGTTTTCGCTGCCGGAAATGGCGTTGCAAATGCGCGAGATTGAGGTGGATTCTACAGAGAACTGATAACTTGGTGATATATCTATACGCAGATACGATATCGAGGGGAAGCAAAACAAGCGCTCTGTGTGTGCTCGTTGATTTTCAGAGTTAGACGGAAATTCCGCGACTGCCGCGCATGCATAAACATCGCGGTCAATAATGAGAGTACGGATAAAAAGCATAGCAAATTACTACATACATTTTAAAACAACACGAGTAAGAAATATATGTGCATGTCGAATGAGAATATAATGAGACGCGTGTAAATTTTAATGAACGTACATACGTCACAACAACGTTATTTTCTCACAGAACATTGTTTCAAAGTGCAATGCAGATTTTAATATTTAGCGTTAATAATTGGCGGTATAATTAGTAATTATAGTAGTTGTAGCAATCTAAACATATTTAATTGTTATTATATTCCATTTGAAAACAAAATAAAACGATGTTTGATAATTAAGTAAAAAGTTAAACTTGATAAAATGGAGTAATTAAATACTAATTAATTTAATTGAAGATTAATTAATTTAATTGAAGACTAATTAATTGTATAATTCATAAAATAGTATTTACATCAATTGATTGAATCCTATATTATTAATAATACATACCATCAGAGTTAATTATATTTATTGATGGAGATGTAATAAAGCTTTTATACACACACCGTATTCTTAATCCATTTTTTGTACTTTGTAAAAAAGAAATTGTAAAAGAAAATGTTCTCAGGATAGAAATGATTAGCAAATTCACATTTATGGTTTCACTCGTATAATAACGCTAGTAGTGTAAAATTTGCACATTATTGTGCATTTTTTTCTTCTCTGCTTTAACATAAACTTATTAACGGACCTACATTCTTTCCATTTACAAAGGAATATCCGAATAGCATCGATAATTGAAAAAAAAACCTCAAACCGAAAAATTTCACAAGTTTTGACTGCACATTTCGACGTTCGTTTCGTTGAGTCGTGAAAAAGTGCAATGAATAGTTGGCTGATGTCCAAATTCTTTTCTCTTTTTTTATCTTCTTTTTTACTATTTTATTTTATTTTATTCAGAGCAAGCCAGAAAAAGTACGGGATATAATGTTCAGTTTTATAAAACTTTTGGTATTTATATCTCTTTCTAAAGCCATATAATTTACATTTTTATTACTCATTGATGATATTTTATCTATTCACATTTTTATAAAACGTGTGAAATATATATAACATACACCATATGTTTTTTTATCAATAATATATATATATATATATATATATATATATATATTATATATGATAACAATAATATTAGTACTGTTAAAATTATATAAAGATATCATTTTTCGGGTACATTAGAGAAAAACCTAATGAAAACTTTTTATATTACATTTTTATTACTCATTGATGATATTTTATTTATTCACATTTTTATAAAACGTGTGAAATATATATGACATATACGATATGTTTTTTATGAATAATATATATGATAATATTAATAGTACTGTTAAAATTAGATATCATTTTTCAAGTACATTAGATAAAAATGAGAATTTTTATATTACATTTTACATTTGAACTGTGTATATGAAAAAAATATTTTTAAAAAAATTGAAC